AGTGCTAACAATGGGTACACTTGAACAGGAATGCATAACAATACAACACTCTACCTCATTTTTCCAGTTTCGTCCCAGGAAGTGTTCGGCCACGTGAGCTGGTAGGACGTTCTCCAGCAGAACCCGGTTGAGGTTCTCCATGGTTTCGATCTCCTCACACTCCCTCTTGAACTTATCCCTCCACAGGAAGTCTAACCTACAGTAATATTCATTCTGTTACAGGAGGACACAGAGTAAAGAGACACCAGCGTCATTCACACCCAGCGCTCTCTCAGTAGAAACTTGAACCAAAAACAGGGGAAAAAAACCAACTAATACACAGAGAAGAAAGCGAATTTTAAATTAGAGTTAAATGTAAATGTTCATTTTTTATAATACAAATCTAATCACAGACAGGATGCTGTAAAAACATCTTCCGTGTATTCGTCCATGATATGGGAGCATTTCTCAGCGTATCCCATTCTAATCATCGCCACTGAACGGAAACTTCATAGGCTATCTCGAGCAACCTAACCGACTGAAACTAAAGGGCATGCTTGGTATTCATAGAAAATTAAAGTTCCAATAACACAACAATGAAACAATGCGTGAAGCTCCGCTATGATGGCTCAAGGAAATCGAGAACAGACAGGGCTGTTTTGCATAAAAGATAGCCACTGCTTTTTTTGTTTTTTCTGCTGTTTGCTTATTCATGCTTGAGGTAGTTTTGAACCATCTAAATATGTCAGGAAGATTCATATAGGGAGGTCAAAACATCCCAGGAGTATGTGTGTGTGCATCAGGTAGCATCCCCTGAACGCACCATCATTATGCTCTCATGTATGTGAACGCTGCAGGCTTCTTGTGGGCTGGCCCCCTACGGTGTGTGTTTGCGTGTGCGTGGGAGCATTTTCAGTGTCCTTCGAGATGTACTTCATGTGTGTGGTTCGCAGTCTGGATGATGTATGTGTGCACTGAATAAGTTTCCCCTGAGATTAAAGTATGGTGCCAATTTAGAAGACTAACAGTGAGGGCCTATACAGCTCTGCGCTGAGATCTTGCGCTATAGTGTTGATAGGCTGAGGCTGAAATGCAAATACGGAGGAGCTTCTTGCCCTCTGAGGACAGCAAGTCTGAACCACTTGTGTGTGCGCATGTATATATGTGCCTATGCACGGTATGAGTATGTACAGTTTTGTGGCACAATAAATTCCAGTACCTCTTTTAGGTTGAAAAAGTAGGCCGAAAGAAGTAGAGCTCATATCAGATGCTGTTTAGAAACCAGCTAAAAAGTCTATAAATGAGTTTTGCTCCATTGCGCAGCTGTTCTTCAGGGATGAATTACAGCTGCCTTGTTTACGGTAACCTGCTTTCCACTCTCTTTGACTAAATGCCTGGGAAAAGCCTCATTAGAGCTAAAGATGAAGAATTTGTAAGGCAAATTTCTTAATAGCAGCCTAAAGCATATACAGCCAACTCCAGTGGAAAATGTGGGCAATACCACTCGAAAGACCTTTTGACCTGTTTTAGAAATGATATTTCTCAATAACCCAAAAGCATTGTTAGAAAAAAATAAACCCAATTACCTCATGATCTGTACGTGACAAAGAGTTTCACTCAGCAAAGTTGTGTTTCCATAACAAAGTCCCCCCTCTTTTCTGCTGAGAGTGACCCAGAATGAGAACAACACAGGGAGCTAGTTTGGACCAACTGTGCCTCTCAGAGGAGCCCCAGTTTGGGTACTAAAGCTCTTGTGGCTGTCCTTCTGTCCCGAACATCAGCTTTGAGGTCAGAGATGATGGATGGTATACCTCACAAAAAAAAAAGATAAAACACAAACACCCAATGTGTGTCAGATGAGTTTGGGTCTTATGAAGTGAGGATGGTGGGCACAGAGGAGATGGAGGCAGTGGGCCAAACTGGCAGATCTAATGCTCCAAAGATATTTTGATCTTTCTTTATAATGAGCCAAGTCCTCCAACACTGTTTAACTGTCTTTCATCTGTTCCAGAATAATTTCTACAAAGTCATAAAAGTCGTTCCAGATCGACCGGGGCTAAATCTCCCGAAAACATCTCTGCTCCACGGAGTCAGTCGCCGATTCTGCGATTGTGCTGAATGACCTGAAAAGAATCGTGGCGTTCAAATGGAAAAAATTACACGAGACCACATTGAGGAAGCTGCTCACCTGCCTGGCTAAGACCAGTAGCGTAATGAAGAAGATGAACAGAGATACAGAACCCATGGTCTTTAGATCCTTCAGGACTCCCGGTCTGTAAGGAGAGGAAAATGTTATAACAACATTCAGCATTTTATTCTGAAAATTCAAAAGCTTAATGCTCTCACACACAAACTGTGATTTACATTAT